AAAAACATGTGAACAGCACACTTGTGAGTTGTTTAGTGCACCGCTAGGTGGCCTTGCGCGGCTCATCATGTTGTTGACACGCACATCTGATTTGGTGCACGCGATGAAGATATCACGAAGCTGGCCTTTGGAGTCCTCCTCATGAGTCACAACATTTTTTTGAACGCTTGATCACTTAAATTGAAACATAAACAGGGTGGCACACTGCATGACTTTATAGAGTTGGAAGCCATGGGACACTCGGACACTCCACCGTGCAATGGTTCTCTTGGAAAGTCTGCAACTTGTCGTAGGCAGTCTTGTAGGCAGTGCGGTCCATCTTAAGTTGCTTCAAGATCCTAGTGTCGCTTTGTTCCGGTGACTATATATATATGATCTATTATAATATATACATATGCGCAACACCATCTGCGGCAAGGCACTCTGATGCTCTTGGAGAAGAGCAGCCATTCAAACGATCCTGCCACACGTATATAGTATATATTATTGCATATCGGTCGAACAAAATTCAGGGTCCTGCTGTTCATCGATTTTGTCAAGCTTCTTCCCCATTTGCTCAAGAAAGCTCGAGATATAGCCTAGCATTGAATGTCTCACCCCCAAATCCCACCCCAAAGAGATACGTACATCACCACATCAACCTTAACATACTAGCCTAGCTACAAAAGGGATCTTGGTTCTGCTGAATCATTGGCAGGTTCTGCACTTTAGCCGCGGCAGCGCTCTGTGCCAAGATCTGGGCCCCTGCGCTGTTTGAAGCACCTCGCCTGAGCGGAACGGGGACGTGGGTATATATGTGTGTGTACAGGTTTTCAGACTGCATCTTGGGGATTCGATCTGAAAACCAGGCTAGGCACATAATCGCTTGATCGGCCGACAAATCCCCAAAGTTCAACAAAGAACCTGAAGGATCAGATACCTCCATTGTTCCTCCACCCTCAGCTTCTCGTCGTCGTGTTGACGTGAAATCGAAACCAGATTCTGTGGGAACTCGGTACTCAAGTTCACCATGCACTTCATTTTTTCCTGCTCAAATTCCGTGCCACAGCCCACTGTTTCGCATTCGCAATCATCGACCTACAGTTGCACGTTAAGAAGAAACACCGATTAAGGGTATGTGCTACACATCATGGATATCTTTAAGGTGAGGACTCACTCCATCCCAAAGCCTTCATGGAAATGTCCGTGTGCCACCCGCCCTTCACCTTATTCGATTCCTCCTCCGATACATAGTGTTTCACCCTCAACTCCATGGCCTCAAGGCTCCCACCAGCCTCCCGCAAAATATCGGCCAGCTTGTCTCCTTGGCAGCGGCGGTTGAATAGCAATCCGACGGCATGAGAGGCTGCCAAAAAAACATGACCATGTGGTTGTTTGAAGTTTCTTGCATGCTACTATGTCTCGCTTCGATTTGTCGTTAAACATTTGCAAGACTTCTGGGCTAGCGATTGTCTTCCCATTGCGCCCTCTGCAGTAGCGCTTCAGCCTTGGCTAGACCGTTGAGAGGACAGTATAGCTACTATAGCGCGTGACCGTTTCATCAAAATCACAAGAATGACAAGAAACTGCCAATAAGTACCCCCCCTCATAGATACTTCGTTTTTCATTCTCAGCGGGGCATGGGTGGGAAGGTGCCTGCTGGGCCGGCTCTGTGGGTGAAGTGTGGTGGGTGGGTGGATGAACCTCCTCAGCGGCGTTGTTCAACACCTGCGGGGCAGTCTTGTTGGCGCCATCTTCACAGAACGTGTCAGTCAGAAAGCTCGGACTGCCCTGCGGAGTAAGCAGCCCGGGAGGAGTGGGGGGGACGGCCATTCCCTTCCCTTTGCATCCCATTCCCTGCACCATTTGGGGAAGGAAGTGGATCCATTGAATCCACATAATGGACTGTTGCATCTCCCTGACTACGTCGTTGGAAATGATCACGTTTCTCTTGAGCACTTGGGGTCGCCAAAACCGCAGAAGGCGCAGAAGGCAAACCAGGAGTAAATGGTCCTCCCATCGCCATTGATGGAACCTGGAATAGATCACCTTGGCCACACTGGCTTAACATGAAATTATAATATATATATATATATGTTGCAAGTGTACTTAAGATGAGTCACGTCCACATGCACCTGGATCCCCCCCCTCCATGAAGTCCCAACTCAATCTGAAGCTCCTGCACTGCCTTCTGAGCTGCCTAGGCTCCGTGTTTGTGGGATTATGGGTGGTTTTGGGTCATATTCATGCATGATCTTCATATGCATGAAACGAAGAAACATATGCGTCCACCATCCAAGGTACAGCTATTTGGCCTGCCAGGGGGTCTTCATCTCCACCAGGACTGGATGCAGTACCCTGAGTTAACATCAGCCCCTCGTCAAAAGTGCGGCACGACTTCGGAGGAATAGCTGGCGGCGTTGACATGCGAGGCCAAGATACACTACGTCAAGCTTTTGCCCAAAAAAAGCTATAACACAGAGAACAACATGCACACTCCATGTTCTTGAACATAATGTTCCAATACAAATTCTGTATACATCATTGCCACACATTTTTTTTTGTGGCAAAGTTCCCGATCTAGCAAGTTCACACGGCAAATTTCAGGAGATATACAAAGTCAAAACTACGAGAAATCTTGATTTGCGGGAGTTTGCTCGATTTGCGGGATTTTTGCGGGTTTTTGCGGGAGTTTTGCGGGTAAAGTTGGTAGAGCAAAATGGGTTCCAGTGCGTATCCTGATCAACGCCGTGTGCATTCGAATGTGCAAATGAATTTGCCTGTCAGAAAAGGCCGGTAGCCACTCACTTTAGACCCCTTCATTCAATCCAAAAGCCCAAAAGGATCGGGCTCGTCCGGTACCTTGGCTCGAACACGTGCTTTGCACTTTGCACACAGTGCAACCTCCTCTCCAATTCTAACATATGGGTTCTAGTCTGTTGAAACCATGTCACGGACAGAAGGTCTTTGGTAAACTTCTCCATGGTCGGTTGCCATTCAGCAGGTATAGAGAGCCGCTTGTTGGAGTAGAGGTATAAGTAGCATTCCCGGAGTTTGGCGTCCGGCCAAACATCTCCAAGCTCAAGCGATTTAAACAATGATAAGTCTGACTGGGCCTCAAATTTGTACTTCTGTCTAAGAGTGGGGATTGCTTTTTTGAACAACTTGTTGGAATCAACGAGTTGAAGCAGTGCCCGTCCTAGTCCAGGCGGATATTGCCTAGGTGTTGAACAGTCAAGGGTCCGCGTGTACGTACTATTTGTTACCTACCGCTTGCTTAGTTCTGGGCTGCGTTCCTTTGAGTGAGGAGGATCCACAAAAACCCATGGTGCCATCCTTCTTCACATATTTGCCTCATGAATGTTTCAAAAGCTATATAGCTAGTTAATTGTTTCCAAGTGCACACAGGCATGGCAATATGAGAACCACACGTGTTGTCTTAACTGTAGCTTTCTTCTCTTTGACCGCCTTCTTCAATTTGCCTTTATCCTGGGTTGCATGGCATGATCACCACAGGGTTCATGAAAGAACACACGGAACAGGTCTTTAAGGGAGGGGCCAGGCCCAAGACCAAGCACCTTTGCACACTCCACACTGTCGTTCTCTTGGGGCACTTCGCGCCGTGGTGGAGCATCCAAAAGTTGTTCCTCCAAACCTCATATCGGATCCGAGACGATTGAGTGTGCACATGTTGTCCATTGACGCTCATGCCATTCTTCAAACAACACATGCACGCAGCTAGCAGTCCAGCAACCACCGCAACTTTGTTGCAAAGCCAAGATAGTCGTGGGTGGTTTGGGAACACATCTGAAGACCCCATGGGTTGCTCGCAAAGGAAGTTGCAGTGGAGGGCTATGCTAAGAAGCATAATCACAACACACCTGCAAACCGGAAACAACAAAACACATCAAACCTAACACGGAGGACATGCAATGTCACACAACAACTCTCACCTTGAAATCATTTGATTAGCACCAGTTATCCATTCTTTGCTTAGATCTCCGAAGCAATTCATACACGACCGCCAGGACGTGCCACGAGAGATCCGAGTCCAGCTCCCGCAAACGGGTGCCATCAAATGAAGGGCTCCAGGACTGCTTTGCAATACCAGCAGAATTGCTAGCCTCAGTGTTGATATCGATAATATCATGCGCGGTACATGCTTCAAACACACGCCCAATTTGACATATGCAGAATTGCAAATAAAGAACGCTAGGCCAGCACTGGAATTGATGTCCATAGAATGGGAGTCTCGAAGTTCAAATGAAGCAACTCGGTGGTTTGGGTCATTCCTGAATATATTTGATACTGCCCCTTCTCCACTAAAGAATTCCACCATGGTCCAGCGAATGCCACAGTCAACATTCTCGGTCCACATCAAAAGCATGACTATTCCCAAGAGTACCTGCCAAATGGTAGGGAGGATGACTAGTATATACTTTTAAAATCATGACTTCTCAAGAAAACACAGTGGGGCCTTGGGGGCGCCAATTTGCGCGAGGTTCATGATAACGCTTCCCTCTCTCTTCACCGCCATGCTGAATCCCCCAAGGAGCTTGGATGCAAAACTGCGAACTGGAGATGTGTCAGCACTACACTTCTCGAGGCAGCGAAGCATTTGACATTGCATACGTGTCATGCATTATGAAAAGGATGTCTTCTAAAACAGGCCAGTTGTGCTTCTTGAAGCAGCCCGCGTAGCAAACCGCTCAAAATGTCGTGGCATCGGTACCTGGAGATCAAGAATTATATAGATCGATCTTAGATCATATAATATATATAGATACGATATATATATATATATGCATGACTCGGATTAGCCTAAAGCCCATACCAAAATTGCAATAGAGCTCTCGCGGAAGGCCTTTTTTTGCAGGCAGTCTTGTCTAAGCTAGGGTCAGCAGCGCACCGCAAGTAGCCCCCTGAAATGATTATGTACTCACAGCTTGTCGTGCCAATCCATGCCAATTAAACATGCCCATGGCAACTGACAAGCGTCGGTGCACGGAATCGCAATAAGCCCAGCATAGGCAATCTTAGCCCATCAATCCCCGGCAATTGGATCATCCCGGATCAAAGCGTCTCAGCATAGGCCTGGGCAGAGTTGGACGTCTACGTATGTAGGGTCCGTGCAGGTATGATCATAGAACCCCCC